AAGGAAACCACTTACGTCGGCAGCCATGTCGATGGCTCTTTAAACAATAAATTTTTTAAATTAAAATTTAATTTAATATATAAATCTATTAACTATTAAATGGATTCTAAATAATTAGAAAGATAAAATATAAAAAAATTATTAATATTTAATAAATCAATATTTACAGCGACGGGCATCATGGCCAAGCTCTGCCTCTACACCAACCTAGCCAAGCCTTTTTGTGCAACCTCTTTTACAACTAACTTGATTCCCTCACTGACGTTCTTAGCTCAGAAGTGAAGTTTGTAATCTTGATAAGCCTCAATCTGAGCTCTTTTAGAGACCGACTCCACTTTCTCCAGTTTGATGGAGGCGACCTCCACCTTCCGGTCCTTTTTCTTCTTTTCCTTCTTTGGAGAAGAATTGGTTCCCGAGCTAAAAGGGATGTGAATCCCAAGCGAAAGCGGTAGAACGTATTCTTGAATTTTCCTTTGAAATTTGAAACACGGAGAAATAAAAAATAGGGGAAAAGCCTTTTACCTTTGAAGTTTTTCTTTTCCTCTCTAACACCAAAAGGACACCACTAGATCTTCCCTGCTATTCTCTGGACGTCAAGAACTCGGTTATGTGGGAACCTTATTTTGAAGAACACTGGAAATATTTTGGTGAGAGACGGAGCAATAAAAAATTGGGAACCCATAAATGCAATTTTTCTATGCATTTAATGATGGGGTGGTTAGAGCTACCCACTTCATCGCTTCCCTATTCTCTTGCAAGAAGGGTGGAGAGTAGGAAGTCATTAATTAGTTAAAAATAAACAAATAAATAAAATTAATTAATTAATTAAATTAAATTAATAATTAGTTTAATGAAATAATTAATATAATTAATTATTCAAAAAACTAATAATTAATTAATAACATATATTTAAATCAAATTTGAATATAATTCTTTTCGTCCCTATGGTTTTAATATATGCACATTAATTTTAACCTATAATTTTAATATGAATCCAATTCATATTAAATTTTAATTTGAATCTTATTCAAATAACTCTCTCATGATAATATAGTATAATTTTGAATCAAATTCAAAATTAACTTTATAATGTATTAATATATATTATATTAATTGTATCTCATACAATTATCTTTAATTCCCTTTGAACAATTCAAATTCTCTTTAAAACTAAATGTCCTTAACTATCGTTTACGAGCTAGAAAAGGGACCTAATGGACCTACAAATCAGAAGCTCAACGATACGAGATTAATTGATTAAATTCATTAACCATGTTAATCAACATTCCTTAATTGTTGGTCACTTCACTAAAGACCCACAGCTGCACTCTTCTCACTGTGGAAAATTCGGTGTCCGTGGATTTTTACCATTAACAATAAGTCAATCCTTCACAAGTGTTCATAACTTCAGTTGAGTCAAATTATCGTTTTACCCCTAAGTTACCTCTTTCACCTTAAATACTACTAAACCTCTAATAAACAATCTTTTTATGGTCCGACCATTAAACAAAGGTCCCTCTCGGGCTAGTGAGAGGGTGGTGCCCCTTGTTTAGGTCCCAGAGTCAGCATTTAAGGCAACACTTATCTACTTGCCCTATCAGGAAGGAGTGAATTCCATATTTCATAGTTATGTTCCCAACTCCCCACCCGGTCTTGTCCCCAAAATGGGAGGATTATTGAGTTGGCAACCCGGGCCACTCTCACCTATACAAATCAAAGGACGATCCATTATAGGCAGGAGTCCATAACTCACTCAGGATTAAAATCGAGTTACCTGGTTATCCTATGAAATATTAATCTAGTTAGTTTACGATGTTATAACTAAAGATTAATTATTTCGCGGTCTATTATTATACTAACATCTGAGGTTATGTATGTAACTTGATCAATATATAATAGATATAAAATATATATTTAATATACAATGTATATACATACAGTATATATTCGATATACAAGTGGATAATGTTCCAGTATTAACCTAAAGGGTCTATAATATATGGGTAAGGTTGGGCACCTTATCTTAGTAGCACTATGGATACGACAGACTTTGTAATTAATAGTTACAAATGACTTGATCTGGGTTGTTCGTGTGGAGACATGCAAGTGGGGGTATCCTATATAATGAGTTTGTATAAGACCAGACCGCGAAATGATTAATCTTTAGCTGTAACACCGTTAGCTAATAGATTAATATTTCAATAAGATGACCAGGTAACTCGATCTCAATCATGAGTGAGTTATTGACTCATTCCTGTTAGGACACGTCCTTTGATTTGTATGGGTGAGGGTGGCCTTAGTCGCTGACTCAACATTCCTACCATTTTGGGGACAAGATCGAATGGGGAGCTGGGAACATAACTTCACAAGATGGAATTCACTCCTCCCCGACTTTAGGAGAGTAGATGAATGTTCTCTTTAGTGTTAACTCCAGGACTTGAACAAGGGACCCCACCCTCCCACTAGCCTGAAAGGAACTTTTGGTTATTGGTCGGACCATAATCGAGTTGTTCATTAGAGGATCAGCAGTACTTAAGGTACAAGATGTAACATATGCGTAAAACGGTTATTTGACCTAGCTGTGGTTACGAACACTCGTGAAGGATTGACTTGCTGTTAATGGTCAATATCCATGGATGCAAAATACTCTACAGTGAGAAGAGTGAAACTGTGAGTCTTTAGTGGAGTGACCAACAGTTAACGAATGATGATTAATATGATTAATGAGTTTAATCAATTAATCTCGTATCGTTGGAGCTTCTGATCTGTAGGTCCATTAGGTCCTTCTACTAGCTCGTAAAATATACTTAAGAACATTTAGTATTGAAAAGAATTTAACTTGTTCAAATTTGTTAAAGAGAATTAAAGTTAATTGTATGAGATGCAATTAATATAGTGTACGTTCATGCATTATGATATAAAGTTAATTTTGAATTGGATTCAAAATCATGAGAGGGATGAATATTTGAATTTGATTTTAATATGGTTGATTAATTTAAGTTTAATTTAATTAAATATGATTTAATTAAATTAATTGATTATATTATTTTCGTTAAAATTAAATTAATAATTTTTTTATAACTAATTAAATTTGATTTAATTAATTGTTAAGTTAATTAAATTGTTTTAATTAAATTAATTATTTAATTTAGTTGTTAAATTAAATAAAAGAAAACAAAAAATCTCTCGCAATCCCCAACATAAATATTGGGAAGTGGGAAGGTGGTGAGTGCCGTACCATTCCTTCCTTTAAAAGGGAGGTTCTCTCCTTTTGGTTTTGGTTGGTGTTTTGAGTTTATAAAGTCTAAAATAAAGTCTCTCTCTCAATCTCCCTCCCAGTTTTAAGAAAGGTTTCCACAAACCGAGTTCTTAACATCTAGAGGATAGCGGGGAAGGCTTTTTGGTGGCATTGGTGTCTACATTGAATAAGTGTGTTCAAATGTATGTTTCACTACTTCATTTTAATAATGTTTTTGTCTTTTCTTTGTTGTATTTCTAAAACAAAATCGAAGTAAAAGCGTTCACGCGTTTCCGCTGCGAGATTTGATCCCTTCACTTTCCTCTCACACTCCCTCCACTGGAGGTAGTAGGGTCCATACAACATCCCTCATCCATTGGGAGGGAGCTGAGTTGGAGCTAAGTTCACATTATTAAAAAATTCTTGAGCAAAAGCTGGAACGGGAAGGCGCATGCCGAACTCAAACATTTTCAAGTAAAACTCGACGTGTCTAGCAAGTGGCTCCACCAACTTCTCACCTTGCAACAGGGTACCTCATGCCTATGCACGAATGAATGTCATACTTAGCCCTAATAAAGTCAATCCATCCCCTATCGAGCTTGGATGGATAGTCAGCACTCCTAAAGGTCTCTTCCTGGGAATGATTGTTGAATCTAAGCTAGAATAGCTCGACGACGAGCTACTGGAAGACCTACCATTCCTTGAGCTACTTCTATCGCTATCTACTCTAGACAAGCCTATTAAGGCCACTAAATAAAGGAAAAGCTAAAGGAAAGAAGATCGACTTTTAGGGGGAGTGCTTGATAGCTCAGCTCGGCTCAAGAGCAAATCTGATTAAAAGCATGAGAAATGAAACCTAAGTACCTTATACATAGGACCCAAAATTCGATCACCACCGTCCATATGGCATTCGAAGAGCGGCCTAAATAATCTCATCAATCGGCGGTTCGCTACTCAAATGCGTCGCCTTGTCAGGGCGACCTTCTACCTTCTATCAGAACAGTTGGATTCATATCTCAGCTTGGTGCACAACAGCTCGCAACCTTGATCCACTTCAAATCCTCTTCTTTGTCAAGTTGGAGCTTGGATCTATCTAAGAGGGAGCTAATGTGGGAGGAAAAATTAACACTGACACGTGGACTCAGTTTGGAGTAACTGAAAGTGGAACTCTAAATCTAAACCAACTAGACATACCTACCTGACCAACTACCAAGGTGAGGGGAGCAACATCACCCCGCCGACGTAAGGATTTCGACCTTAGACCCGACAACCGACTTGGGGGCCTGACAGCCATAATCGCTGGTTGGAGTGGTTCCAACAACCTTGTCACTCCGCCAGCCTATAAAAGAGACACTCCACATCATAATCTAGATCCAAGTACACAATTATACTATGAGAATGACTTACCATAGCTCGTGCTCACTCTAACTTGAGCATCAGATTGTTTATTCCTTTTGTAGGTCCCTCTTACTTAAAGGTCGCACCTTGATAGCTCATCTTGGTTGACTCGTGGTTGATTTGTGGTAGCTCGGTAGAACCCTACATCAACATCCATATTTATTAAACTAAAAAAAATAAAATAAAAGTCAAATACGAGTCTTAGTAGACAAAAAGTACCTCACCCTACCATTGACGACGAAAAAATGAAAAAATGAAAAAAATAAAGTTTTTATTCTCGAACATGTAACCTTTTGGGAGATATATAAGATATTTTTAGATAGAAAGTATTATGATCGGTAAGAAATTGGCAATGAAAATTTAAAATTGTTGTGAGTTGTGTGAGCTTGCACATTTATCCTTGGATGAGTCTCTCACCAGTGGAGTAAGAGTACCCACCACCATGACTTGAAAACAAACTGGGTCTCCCCAATGTCTCCTTGTCTGGGATTTTCTGTTTCCTTTTCAAATTTCTACACCACCACCATTCTCAAACCTCCACTTCCAACTCCCAATTTCATCTTCTCCTCAATCGCGCCCTAACTCTCATTCTTATGCTAACATGTGATATGGTACGCTACTTCTCTTTCCATTTCATTCTACCTTTTTGTTTTTGCTCTTTGATCCAGTTTTGCTTCATGGGTTTTTAGTTTATTGCGAAGATTTCATTTGGGTATCTTTTGTTGGGGACTTTCTGTCCTTTTCTGTACTCGAATTTGTGATTTCTCGGCTTTTCGTCTGCTTAATTAGGTCCCCTTTTCTTCCTTTCTGGTACTGTCCTTAAAAGGGTCTTCCAATTTTGCCAATAATTCTCTTTCGAAATGCTTAATAGTGAATTTTAACTCTGTTTAGAATTTCGGAGCAAGCTATGAAGTTGAAGAACAACGATGCAGAACTGTTTGTTTCTTCTTCTTCTTCGTCTCCTTTTTTTTTTTCTTGCGTGTTCCCTTGAGTGAATTGCTGATTTGATTATATTGAATTGGTTTCTGAATTTATCTTTTCTTTCTGAGTTTACCTTATACAGTATGCCTTTTTGTTAATTAATCTCATCTCTCTGGCTTTCCTAGTTTTGCGCACCTATTTATCCAAGAGTTTCTGTTTTAATGAGAATTCCTCTTTTCTGTTTGGAAGTGTTGAGAAGTAATTAAAACCACCATATTAGGTAATGGCTAATTAGAAAATGGAGAGGAGAGGGGTGTTTATGTTTACGTTAAGTTTTTAACTGATGCTATATTAGGTTTCCTTGGCTAGTTAATTCTAGAGAAGATTATTGATGCAATGGATTTTTTTTATCCTTTACTCGTGTAAAAACAAGTATCTAACAGAATAGAAGCTCATTTTATGTTGTTGAGAGAGATACATTTCCAGGGATAATTGAAGAGATCTCGGACTATCCCGACCTCCAATCTATCAACTACCGAAACTTACCTGAGCCTTTATGTAACTCCCATGGATTGGAATTTGTCCCTTTTTGTACTCTTAATTTCGTAATATCAATGAAATTGTTTATTCTTAAAAAACTACCAAAACTTACCTTATCTCTATTATAGTTGTGAAGTCACACTCTTAGTTACAGCAGACCCTGTACTCCTACTTATCAGATGTGTCTTTTTTTGATGATGAAAACCAAAATTTCATTAAGAAACGTTAAAGAAAAAACAAGAGCATACAAAAAAAGATCCCCACAAAAGGAGTCCTAAATCTACCAAAGGGAAAAGTTGAACCTAACACATTCCACACCTCTTCCCAAGACCTCTCAATGCCCAAACGCCCAGACAGATGCCCCTATCTGTCTTACAACTATATGCTTTCACTACCGGGGGCCTATCAGTATCCTAATCTCTGCCTTTGCTGTGGTTTTCTTAATCAACTGCAGCTTTACTTATTCTTGCTGGTTGGTGCCTTTTGATTCAGTGGTTTCAAATTCTATGGTCCCATCCTAGAAATCTCGAGAGTTTTTGCAAACTCTATCTTGTGGCTATCCTTTTGGGGAGAAAGAAAGGCTCTGGTCATTTAGTTGAATGCCTTCAAGACTATACTGTCCCTTGGCTAAGAAATAGACGAACTTTTAAGGCTCCGATGGAATATGTACAAATATATAATATATATTATGAGAAATGGAGCTTTCATTTAGAGAGATGAAAGAATATACAAGGGCCTACAAAAAAAACTTGTGAAATTTTTAAAAAGCACTTTTAGTCATCTAAATTCACTTACAATGTTATACTAAGTACACTAAATTAATAATTTTTCCATTTTTTTTATTAGAAAAAGTGTTTTTCAAAAGTCATCCTAAAAATATTGTAATTCTTCTATAGAAATAAGTGCTTCTTTTCTAAGAAGTCATCCCAAATGTACACTTGTTGGGTTTCCAATCCCATCCTTTTGGAGTTCTCTTTATAATGATTTTGCTACTTTTTCCCCCTCTTTGATATTGATGAATTGGACTGGTTATGGTTCTTGGAGTATATCTTCTCTTCTTTTGTTTTTGCTCTTCGATTGAAAAGCTTGCTCTTGTAGGAGGATCTCATCGAATGAAAACGATGCTCTTGAGATACAAGACTGTAGATGTTTATGAGGACCAGTCAGGTCACCAAAAATGGGATTAGTTCAAGGAAATATTGGTTGAGAAAATATCATTGAAACTAAAATCTGAAAGATTTGAACTACTTTCATGATTTCACCTCTATCCCCAAATGGCCATTCAATTTTTTCTCTCTTTTCCAATTTTGTTTTTCTTATCTTGAAAGTTTAACAGGATGGTGGAAAGGTGAGACCGGGCTAATATCACACAGTTTAACGATTTAACAATAAAAGTTAGATAAGGAGAGGCTTCTATTTATCCTCTAATTGTCTTTGAGTAGTTATTTATTTGACAATGTGGAACTCTTATTAAGAAAAATGAAAGAATATAAAGGGGTATATTAGATGGCCATAGATTTTTTTAAGAAGGTTGAGTTGGACAGGAAAATAGTGTGCAACTTTCCTGCATGAGACGAAATGATCGTGTCTCACTTTGTGATTATATATATACACACATATATGTATATATATATATATATTTTTTGAATATTTGAAGTATAATTATTCTACAAAATTAGTATGTCATAATTAAGGTGTTTTGTTTATTGTCCCTGAAATATCTTACTGTATATCAGAAATCTTGCTTGGTTAAAGGTTATGCTACTGAATTTTAGAACAAATCTCTGGAACATTAAGATAGAGCTCCATGTAGTTTTGTTGAAGTAACGATTTAGTTCATGAATTGTATATAATTTAGCCCCTCTACTTTAAAATTTTTGACAGTTTAGTCCCTATGGTTTAGAATTTGTAAAATTTAGTTCCTACCGTGTATAATCTTATCAAGATTTAATGGGTTTCTGATCTATGTAGATTGAACATTGCGTTGGGTGTTTATAAACTATATGGGCCGAATCATTATATAATAAAAATCGATATTTCACCTTGATGTAAATTTGCATGGTAGGGATTAAATTTTAACAAATTTTATGCTATAGGAACTAAATTATTACATACTAAAGTTTGATTAAAAATTTAAAATTACAAAAACCAAATTGTTACATACTTAAGTTTATGACTAAATTATTACTTCAATAAGAAGTGCTAGGACCAAAAGTGTTTTTTAACTTATATCTTTTAAATTTTCGAGCAGTAGTGTTAAATATTTAAAATTTCTCTTGAGATGATGTTAATTTTATGTCTGAAAATTTTCTGTTCCATAAGCTTTTCCTGTAAGATTATTGGATAAAGTCACTAACGTAGTACTTACATGGTAGGATGGGAGCATTTATCTTTGTATCAGCTTTTGTGCATCAATGAAGTTTTCCAATGCAAGGCATGTCTTGCTCTAGTAAGTTCCGAAACCCTAATAATGTTATCGATTAACATTTTTCATCGTAGGGTGTTACTGTATAATACTGTAGTTTGATGTAGGGTTATGGAGAGTTAGTAATTCTTTAAGATTTGTACTTGGCTTTCTCCCTAGGGCCTAGGCAAATTTGATGAATTCTCCTACTATTGATACATTATTTTCATTTTCTCATAAATTTGTGTTGTAATATCATGATTTACATGCACACACGCTCACGTGCACGTTAAGACATACGTGAAAAAATATCAGTAATACTTGAGTACATACTTCTGTTGGACAAAAATAAATGAACAGCATGAGGATAGATCCCATGTAATATAGATTAAATTATGAGCTTGTCTCTTGAAATTTTAAAGTTTGTATTAATTTACTCCATATACTTTCAAAATTTTCTAATAGGTTGCTGAACTTTCAAGGTCGTATATTTTTAGTCCCTTTACCTTTACTTAAAAATATTCTAATAGGTCTCTATGCTGTCAATTTTTTTTGTTTACACATGCATCTCTAAACATTGAAATGTGATGGAAATCAACCTACCGCTTTATTCATAAATTATATAATCACTATTCACTATGCCATGGAAGTGTTAGATGGTTGAAATTAACAATAAGTACCCTATAGACACAATAAAAAGTACACGAATTAAATAGACACCATCTAAAAATTCCAGGATCAAACTTGTAATTGAATTAACATGTCTACTAATTACGTGGCTGAATGTTAATGGAGTATATAATATGGTAAAAGTGGATTTTTTCCTGATATACATAATCATATGCTGGCAGAGTTGTGATTTATCCTGTAAATGGTAATTCTCACGAGTTGCAAAATAAAAGAAAAAAATCTCTCAAGTTGCATTAGACTAAGTTTCCATTGTTCATGCAGGTCGAAAGCATCACCAGTGACAGTCGACGTCGATTCAATCGTCTGTGTTTCTTACAGTTACTGTAAAGGAAGCATTCGACTGTGTAGGTCTAAGTTCTATTTCCGATATGCAATCACCAAAGTTTAATTTAGAATGTGAAAATGATTCAGAAGTCAGTACCGAAGCTGCTTCTAACACGGTTGTTGTAGAAACAACCCCAAAGCCCTCCAAGGACAGCAGTATCACTTCTTGCCTCACAAACTTGATTAAAGCTAATCCCGATCTCGGTCCGGTTTCCCTCGACTTGACTCTTCATTTTAACTCAAATGACATTGATGCAAAAGGAATTGGAGATACTAGTAGTGAAGCAGTTGGCCATGTTTCTGGCCCCACAAACCCAAGGGTGTTCCCTTGCAACTACTGTAGGCGTAAATTCTTTAGTTCACAGGCGCTTGGTGGCCACCAGAATGCTCATAAAAGGGAGAGGACAATGGCAAAGCGAGCTATGCGGATGGGTATGTTCTCAAACAGATTTACTAGCTTGGCTTCACTGCCACTCCACGGTTCGGCATATCAGTCACTCGGGATCGAAGCTCATGCTGCACTGCACCATAAACTCATGCCTGCTAGAAACAAAGCAGTGTTTGATCAAGGCTACGTAGGAACACCATTCTTTATGGAAGACGATGATGTTGCTCCATTTTGGCCCGGGAGTTTCCGACGAGTAAATGAGGGGTTTGTTGGTTCTATGCCAAGTGAAGTATCTCAAGTTCCAAGTCCAAACTCTGGTAGGAGCATGCCGCCCCCGAAAACAAGTACTTCCTCTTCACCTGATCTTACTTTAAGACTCTAAGCCTTTTCTGTTCTGTTTTTCTGTTCTACATATTGCTAATTGTTACATATTGATGACTGCAAGCTTTTTCTTAAGTCATAATTCTTCTGTGTTTATTCTCATCCTTACTAACATCATAGTCCTGTCAAACGATATGGAGATTCACACAACTTATAAGAATGGATTAATATTAAGGGAATATAGGGTAGATTGGTTACAAGCTTTGGATTCAAGTTTCCAGATTGATGAGTTTATAATCTCTGGTCAGAATTCTAATCTTGTTATTTTGTCAAGATTTTAATAAATTTAGGTTATATTTTTATGGGTAAATTAAAAAAAAAAAGTACCATTGAAGTTTGCTCTTTGTTTAAATTATACTCCTATCTTTCAAAAGTTTCAATACTACACCTTGAACTTCATAAACATTTCAAAAATACCATCTTGAACAAATATCTATTAATATTTCAAATCGAAACTTGATGTAGTATAGTGTTGATTAATGTGACAATTAATGTGAAAACTTGATTGGCTATCCAATTTTGTCCTAAAAGTTTTCCTCCTCTATAGTTTGCTTTTTCATTGTTTACCAAATATTGTCCCAATCCTGCTTTTAAAAACGATAGAGCTTATTCCATATTTCCTCTTTTTTTAGACTTAATCAAAGCAAGTTTCTACATAAGTCGTCACGTTATTCCAAATTTTGTCATGTCAACTTTTCATTCAAAATATTAATTGATTGTTGGCTTAAAATAGTATTTTTGAAACGTTTATGAAAGATTAGTGGCCATATTGAAACTTTTGATTGGTTATGGGTATTTTTGAAACAAATGGAGGTTTCAACGGTATTTATTGTAATTTAGCTTTTTTTTTTAGCCCACATTGTTAAGGCCGTTAATAAAATGCAATGTGGTTTGTTCGTTAATGTATCTAGTTGTCTATCACATCATGTCGAATTTTTTGGATGGTATTAAGGTATATTATTCTTATTATTATTATTTTAGATCGGTAAATTCACCACCTGAGCTACGACAACATTAATTTTTTTATTATATCTTTATAACATTTTAAATAATGTCGGAATCGTCAAAGGGAGCATAGCTCAACGGTAATTGACGTAGATCACTAAAAAGAATAATTTTAGAATTCCCTTCGATGGAGCCATGCCAAATTACAGATAAGCTATCAACTAATTAAAAATTTAGGCATCCGATAACTATTTTGTTTTTTATTTAATTTTATTTAATTAAACTTAAAAATATTGTTTTCACCCATATATTTCCGTTATTTACTTTTCAAAAACTCAAGAAAGTTGCTTTAAAAAATATATTTAGTTTTTGATTTATCTCAAACTTCAAATACTTTTTAAGAAAGGTAAATAAATACAAAATAAAGCTGAAAGAGACAATTTTTAAAAATAGCTGAAAACAAAATTGTTATCTATAATTTTTGGGCTAAAAACTTGGTAAGACAAGAAACTTTTGGGCAAAATCTTGGCATGATTGAAAAATTGCATCCTTAGAAAAAATATTTTTTTTTTCAAAATAAAACATATTTGGCTTAGATTTGTTCTCAAAATCTTTGCAAGATTACAATCTTTATATGTAAGGTAATAATTGTATATCTTGACCATTATATTCTTAACATAGAAGTCTATCTATTCCCATTTCTTTTATAATGCATTTTGAATTTATCTTTAAAATTCTAATGAAATTTCAAAAAAATATGCTTGAAGTTTTTTTGGTATGTTTTTCACCTTCATTCCAAACATATTTTAATTTCAATAAAAATTCAAAAATGAAAACAAGTTTTAAAAGGCTTTTTTAGTTCTCAAAATTTGACACTTACAATTTGAAATTTTTTTAAAGAGACATCAAAGCAATTAGTGTTTCCAAACTTAAATTTTAATGCAAAATAACAAAAAACGGTTATTAAAAAAAATGTCTTTTCGTTTCTTTTTTTTCAAAAAAAAAAAAAAGTTTCCTTGCAGATTCAATTTCCCATAAAAACTAAAAAGTAAAATTTTCAAATAAAAATGTTGATGACAGAGGATGTAAGTGTAATTCGGTTAGTAAGTCAAAGCGAGCCTAGCTCAGCACTGTAATTGACATATATCTTCAATCAAGAGGTTATGAGTTCGATCTCGTAATCTTTTCCATTAACAGTCAGATGCAGGAACTGAACACATTGTGAGCCAAATGGTCTTGATTCAAGTTGTCCAAGCTACATTGGGTGAGCATTGTTGGGATTGGTGGAGCCAAAACGATGTCGGAACGAGTTAAGGATGTGTTGGGATCAAGCTGGGACGCGTCGGGACGATCGAGGGCATGGAAACAAGTGGAGAGCTATACTGCATAGGTGATCATTTGGCTACGGGCATGGCACCGCGGCACTACAACGAAATTGAAAAAAAAAAGTAAAACATCTCAACGCTCCGAACATGGAGGCGGTAATTGAAGAAGCACGTAGGAGCGTGTTTTTAGGGTTTGACGCTTTGGGGTCGTAGCATTGAGATGCTACAATGTTTTTCTGTATAAAAGCAACAATTCGCTTTTATTTTAGGGTAGTCGTCAGGGTAAATTTGTGCAGCCGATTTTGTTAGGGTTTTGGCAGCATATTTATGGCAGCGGCTCGGGATTGTTGGCAGCAGAGGGAGATCAAGATCGTCTTATTCGGGTATTGTATCTTGATCATATTTGTGAGTGCTTTCATTCCTGTACCTAAGTATAGTGTTTATAATACTTAGAAGCTGAGGCTTTTGTTGGGACCTCTAGGGTATATTTTTGGAGAGAGTTATTATATCCAATCCTTGACTATATTAGTGAATTACCCACATCTGAGTGGAAGACTGGACGTAGCCTTTAATGGTGAACCAGTATAATTTGTTGTGTTGTTTTCTTGTGCTGTACAATTTTCTTCTTTAATTGTATATTGTGGTTGTATTTGGATATTTCTTTGTGGTAGAGAAAATTATACAGGGACATTAATTTCCAACAAGTGGTATAAGAGTTGTAGGGTTGCAGCATCATGGGAGACAGATATCAAGCACACCATTACTATGAAGGGGTTCTGAAGTTCAGTGGAGAGAATTTCGGTTTTTGGAAGATGCAGGTATGCAATCTCGTGGCGAAATAAATGACTGCGAAAGCATTGTTGTAGTCTTTGCAAGCCAGGTATGGAAAACTTTATGCCGATACAAAAATATTCTCTGGGTGAAGTATTTCAACATCCACATGGAGGAGGAAACTTTGATGAATTCCCACATTGGTGTTGCGAGATGTCAATATATTCCTAACTTCAGATTTAATTTGTTATCTGTAGGGAAGCCAGATGATGATGGCTACAGCAGTGAGTTTGTTTGGGGTTGCTGGAAGCTCAAGAGGAAATCTGGGGTAGTGGTGATAGGTCACAAGAGATCTTCTGTTTATGTGTCTGAGTTTGCGGTTTCCAAGGGATCTGAGAGACAGAGAATGCACAGGGCTATAGATGGTTCAGGGCGAGATTTGAAAGAATCAGCAGAATTGTCAGTCAGGATAGATCAGGAGAATCTACCATCAGTTCAAGTACAACACTTGGAAAGTAGAAGAAAGGGAAAGGGGAACAACTCAGTGAGGTGTTTAGTAGACTGTCGGGATAATACCCTGGTTGTCAGACGGATGAGCGAGCTAATGAAGTCGCATAGGCGAGAGAGTGCATCAAGGAGGAAGACTACAATTGGTATTGAAGTTAAGGGTAATGTCTCTAGTGTAGCAACAAACTGGGTGGGAGTGCCAAGTCATCAGGGGAATCTTTCTTCAGAGGTTGTTGGGTTCGATTGAGAAAGGAAGCAATGGGGACCACTTAGATAGAGTAGGAGCACGTGGATGCGTCTCTAACGTCTGGGAGACAAGACTATATAGGATTCCTCAGTCTCGGGGTAATCACAGACAGAGCTTAGGTAGGACCGAGTAGTGTGGATTAGTTCATTGATAGAGCAGTCAGAACTGTGCCTTAACAGTGGGTGTCAAGATGATGGAACACTGTTGATGCAGTGGAAGGTAGAGAGTTGTCTCTTTATCTCCAAGTGGGGAATTGTTGAGATTGGTGAAGTCAAAACGACATCGGAATGAGCTAGGGATGTTTCGGGATCGAGCCGAGACAAGTTGGGACGATCGAAGGCATGAAAACAAGTGGAGAGCTGCTGTATAGGCCATTTGGCCTCGGGCATGGTGCTGTGTCGCTAGCTACAACAAAATTGAAAAAAGAAAATCGTGTTGAGACACTGCTTAGAACGTCCCAATGCTCTGAACATGGAGGTGGTAATTGAAGAAGCGCGTGGAAGCGTGTTTTTGGGGTTTTATGCTTTGGGGTCGTAGCGTTGAGACGCTACGACGTTTTTCTGTATAAAAGCAAGTTCGCTTTTATTTTAGGGCAGCCGTCGAGGTTAATTTGTGCAGCCGGTTTTGTTAGGGTTTTGGCAGCATATTTGTGGTAGCAACTCGGGATTTTTGGCTACAGCGCTAGGAACAGCACCGCAGCGCTACAAATTGAAAAAAAAGTAGAGTGTTGAGACACTGCTTAGAGCGTTTCAACGCTATGAAAATGGAGTCGTAATTGAAGAAGCGCGTAGGAGCGTGTTTTTGGGGTTTGACATTTTGGGGTTGTAGCATCTCGATGTTACGACATTTTTCTCTATAAAATCAATAGTTCGCTTTTATTTTAGGGTAGCTATCGGCGTTAATTTGTGCAGCTGATTTTGTTAGGGTTTTGGAAGCATATTTGTGGCAGTGGCTCGGGATTGTTGGCAGCAGATTAGGGAGATCAAAATCGTCTTATTCGGGTATTGTATCTTGATCATATTTGTGAGTGTTTTTGTTCCTATACCTAAATATAGTGTTTATAATACTTAGAAACTAGGGAACTTTTGTTGGGACCTCTAGGGGATATTTTTTGTGAGAGTTATTGTATCCAATCCTTGACTATATTAGTGAATTACCCACATATGAGTGGAAAACTTTACGTAACCCTTAGTGGTGAACTAGTATAATTTTCTGCATCATTTTCTCGTTCTTTACAGGTTTCTTCCTTATTTGCATATTGTGGTTGTGTTTGGATATTTATGTAGAAGGATAAAGTATATAGGGACATTAATTTCCTAATAGGGTGAGCATTTGGTTGAGAAGCCCTTTTCCATCCAGACATGGTTTAACTTATACAATTTTGAAAGGACAGAGAAAAGCGCAAGATGACTTCATTTGTATTTCAGGCGATTGCCCCAAGTTAAATGGTAATCAAATTTATTACACATCTAATGATTTTCTTACTTAAACTGACATTAGTGATTGCAATTTTGATGTCTGCAACATAAAAGATAGAAGTAGTTGAGCCTATCATTATCTTGTCTTACATTTCAAGTCCCTGCTTATCTCAATGATGTAACGAAAAAAACGAAGAGACTAACAAAATGGAAACAATAGAGAAACTATACGAAGTAAGAACTTCTATTCATGGAATTAAGAAATGTTACAAGTATTTAAAAGAAAAACAATAACGAACCACCACTAACCACCCACTATTTAGGCCACTACTCTTCAAATTCTTAATAAACCAACCCCACAACTCCACTGAGTCACTAACTTATAAACTCTCCAACTTACACATCCACTCATCCACTACTCTTAGTTAACTATCAACCATGACATTTAATTATCAAACACAACTCTTAAAGTGTGAAAATACTAGGAAATAATTTAACACATGTTTGTACTCATTTTTAACACTCCTCCTTAATGCAAACGCACATGCAACAACATTAGTGAAAATTTACAATCAACAACTCTAGCACTTTTGATTGCTTCAATCTTGCTCCATAGGAGTAATCATTGTTTTTGTCTCCCCATTTGAAAACGATCATAGTAGTACTGAGTTGCTTCTCCCTTTTCAGTTTCTTGACGTGGCTGATGAGTAATACATCATTTTATTTCGCAAAGAACAAGATGTGAATTTGACATGTAACAATGTCTAAACACATCATCTCATAACAAAAAATATCAATCATTTATGATGATTCTGCAATAAATAAATACTTCAGTTTTATATGATCCGTTATCTCCCAAACTTGAGTGACATTAATCATTCTAACACCAATCAACTTTGCTAGGCCAAAATCACTAATAATGGCTTCAAAATCTTCATCAAGAAATACATTAGTAACCACAACACCTTGATAAGATTCTTTGGATTGCAACTTTCAAAACAATACTCTAAACCTTGAGTTGTATCCAATGACACAGACCTTCGAGTGTGCCAATCCAAGCCAAAGTCCCCAAGCTTAAGTTCTTGAGGATGGTAGACAACACTCAAGTTTTCAGGTTGGAAAACATCTTCTCCAATATTTTCCTTCCATGCAAATCCTTTCAACTGACCGAATGAAACTCTTCGATCAACTTTTCACCAGCAACATTTACAAAGACTCCGCACGTGTAGCATTTATAGTTACTCTTGCAGAAAAACAATAATCCGACCAAATAAACAAATGTTAACCGAGCTATAAGTCCAAATATATGACTAACCTTAAAATTGCTTAAACAACTTAAGTCTACACTATCTTTAGAACAAATAAATAGAATTTCTGCAACAATTTGACTTGTTTCCAAAAAAGCTCTTAGCATCAGCAAACTACGAGACTGAAACAAAATTCTCATTCAAATTTAGACCATGACAACCATCTTTACAAGGAACACCACCCAATTCACGATTTCTAATATTGACATGTCCACCTTGCCAAGAGAAAAAAGTGAATAAAAGACCTTTTACAGGAAAAGGGTCATATTGCCAAAGAAACCTTATAACTTGTGCATTCGACCTTTTTGGTCCAATGAATGTCCAAGCTAAAGGAGGATATGAATATTTCATCTCTTTCATAGATGATTATTCAAGATTTGGGTATCTTTACCTAATGCAACGTAAGTCTAAAGCTCTTGAAAAGTCTAAAAAATATAAAACTGAAGTTGAAAATTTATTAGGTAAAACATTAAAACATTTCGATCTGATCGTGGTGGAGAGTATATGAAATTGATATTCCAAGACTATATGATAGAATGTGGAATCACTTTCCAACTTACAGCACCAGGTACACCTTAGCAAAATGGTGTATCAGAGAGGAGAATAGAACCCTGTTATACATGGTTCGGTCAATCATGAGCTATGGTCAGTTGTCTAACTCGTTTTGGGGTTATGTAGTAAAGATTGCAGTTTATATCCTAAACAACGTTCCATTAAAAAGTGTCTTGGAAATACCTTTTGAGCTATGGAGAGGTTGTAAACCTAATTTAAGAGAGTTCAAAGTTTGGGGATGTCCAGCACATATGCTCACAACAAACCCAAAGAAATTGGAACCGCATTCAAAGGTATGCCTATTTGTAGGTTATTCCAAAGAAACGAGAGGTCGTTACTTCTTCGACCCCAAAGATAATAAAGTATTTGTATCAACAAATTCCACTTTCTTAGATGAAGATTATACCAGGGATCATAAACCAAAAAGTAAAATGGTTTAAATGAAGCTATCAGTAAAACAACAAGAGATGCTGACACTGCTAGTCCATCAACAAGGGTTGTTGACGGAGCCTGTACATTGGGTCAACATAATTCTTCTCGAGATCAGAGAAGACGTCGACATAGTGAGAGGGTGGTGAGTCAACCTGACCGTTACATGGGATTAACAGAATCCAAGTTGTCATACCGGATGACGGCGTTGAGGATCCATTGTCTTATAAATAGGCAATGAAGGATGTTGAAAAATATGAATTGGTCAAAGCTATGGATCTGAAATAGAGTCTATGTACTCTAATTCCGTCTAGGAGCTTATGGATTAACCTGATGGGGTAAAACCTGTAGGTTGTAAATGAATCTACAAGCAGAAGAAAGATGCCAACGGGAAGATACGGACCTTCAAGGCTAGACTCGGGCAAAGGGTTACACCCAATACGAGGAAGTTGATTATGAAGAAACTTTCTCCCCTGTTGTCATGTTGCAGTCTATCTGTATTATCTTCTTCATTACCACATTTTATGATTATGAAATATGACAGATGGACGTCAAGACTGCTTTTCTAAATGGCTATCTTGATGATCCATAAAACAAGGTCAAGAGCAAAAAGCTTGCAAGCTTAAAAGATCTATTTATGGGTTGAAACAAACTTTGGATTGTGGAATATAAGATTTGACATATGGGTTTGACCAAAATGTTGATGAACCTTGTGTCTATAAGAAGGTCATCAACAATATTGTAGCGTTCCTAGTATTATATATAGATGATATCCTACTCATTGGGAATGATGTAGGCTTTCTGACTGATGTTAAAAAATGGCTAGCAACTCAATTCCAATGAAAGATTTGGGGCAAGCTCAGTTTGTTCTTGAGATTCAAATTTTCAGGAATGGCAAGAACAAAATGCTAGCCTTGTCTTAGACATCGTATATTGACAAAATATTGGTTAGATATTTGATGCAAAACTCCAAAAAGGGGCTTTTACCTTTCAGATATGGAGTCTTTTGTCTAAGGAACAATGTCCTAAGACACCTCAAGAAGTTAAGGATATGAGACGTATTTCCTATTTGTAAGCTGTGGGATTGTCAGCCGATATCAGTTCAATCCAAGCTCGATTAGTAGACTGCAGTCAAAACAATCCTCAAGTATCTTCGAAGAACGATAGACTACATGCTTGTGTATGGTGCTAAGGATTTAATCCTTACAGGATACACTGACTCTGATTTTCAGACTGACAAGGATTCAAGGAAATCCACATTAAGATCAGTGTTCACTCTTAATGGAGCGACTGTAGTTTGGCAGAATGTTAAGCAGGGGTGCATTGCGGATTCCACAATGGAAGCTGAGTACGTAGCTGCTAAAAAAGTTGTCTGGCTTAAAAAGTTCCCAACGGACTTGGGAGTTGTTCCAAATATATCCCTGCCAATCACAATCTATTGTGATAATAATGGTGCAGTGGCAAATTCGAAGGAAGCTCGAAGCCATAAGAAAGACAAGAATATAGAGAGGAAGTATCACCTGATAAGGGAGATTTTTGCAACGATGAGATGTGATCATCACGAAGATTGCTTTGTAGCACAATATTGCTGCTTCATTTACAAATGCTCTCACAGCTAAAGTATTTGAATTTTCTAATAAATTATTGATGTAAAAATGCTCAAACGAGGCTTTGATACCACTTGTTGGGTATTTTCAACTTACGCTAACGACACCAATAATTTCAGAAAATATATAATATACACTTTCCAACAATAAATTTTAACAAATAAATGAGGTAAAGAGAAGAATTAACTTTATAGTGGTTCGATCAACGTGATCTACACCCACTGTGACGACCTATCTATTCCATTCATATCACCAAGAGCAACAATAAAATACATGGAGTATTACAACAGTGAGCAGAAACAAATACAATAGAAAAGTCCCCTAAAATAATACACCACTCTCACTCACCATCAATGAAGTTGATACAAAAGAGAGAAGAAGTACCCAAGGAAATTTTTGCAAGAATTTTTGCAAGAGAATGCCACTCAATGTCTTTGTTTAAGCACCTCACACACAAACGAGGAAGAAAAGGCCCCATGTTCTGCCGCACCAAGGAGAAAACAAAAACAAAAATTTCCAAACACTTTTGTTTTGTTTTAACTCACTCATAGAAATGGTGCCCTAAAATAAAATACTACCCACAAAAAAGTGTCCAGCCCAAACATATTTTTTTCAGCACATGAAAAATGGGCCCAAATTGAATTCATGGCCCAACACACACACATAGAGGAATAACAAAAGGAAAGAAGAAGAAGAAATTTCCACCAAAAAGTGTGATAAATGAATTGAATTACGAGGAAGGAACAAAAGTCATTGTGCAGAATATATTCCATAGACTAAAGCAAGTCAATAGAGAGTCTCCCGCGCTTCCTTCTCAAAGGGTTTTCCTCTAAATTCTTTTTCTCTCTCATCGACCAAACAAACATTCACAATATATATATACATAAGTAACTAATGATGCTCCCTCATCTCATAGCTCATAAATCTCTCTCTTATTTTCATTCTCATAACTCATAAATCTCTCTCTCTAAACAATGGAAGGAGGGGAAAGTTGTAGAAGCAAGAAAGCTAATGCCAAGGATTGCAATGGTCTCATTGATATTTTGTTTTCTTGGGAGCTCAGGCATGTGTTCAACCAAAATTTCTACAAGCTCAAGGTACGTAATATATCGTTTCTCGAACTCGTCTCGAGGTTTATATACATTTTCTCTTTTCTCTTTTTTCTTTTCTATCATAATTTCAATACAATACTCAATAAATTTCTTAAAATGTACTCCTAACTTTGTATTAAAGAGTAATTTCAAAAAATGAATGGAGGATTAAAATATACGGACCAAAATAGGATTGTTTAAACCTATATTTAACAGAAGCATGTTTTAACTTTTTAAATACAATATAAATTTGACTTTTATTATTGTATTATATTTTAATTTAATTTGGAATTTGATTATGTTATATGCCTTGCAATATATGAAATTAATTATTTATATGCCTCCAGAAAACACATTCATTTTTTAGTTTAACAAAATTTGGTATATTCTTAGCCCTTATTTTTAATTTTTTATTAGCTATATAACATGATTCTAAATCTGTTTAAAAATCCCGCAACACTTACTTTACTGCATACGACTTCAAATATTTGTCCATACAGACATGAAAGATGAGTCAACGTCGGATATCTCTTAAAAGTTCAAATATATTAATTAACTAAAGCATTAAAAAAATTTCAGGTGGGAAAGATTCCAAAATCATTTGAATCAGAGCATCACTACAGAAGCTCATACATATACCCTTTGTTAGAAGAAACAAGAGCAGATTTGTGTTCAAGTTTGAAGACAATTCACAAAGCCCCTTCTGCACAACTGCTTTCCATTGAAAAAGAGCCAAAGCCAAAAGGACCCAAAATCTTGTTCAATGTGAATCTTAGCTCTTGGAGAATCAATAATGGGAAGGGGCAACAACAGTCATATAGGCCACTTCCTGGGGATATTTTTGTCATTTTGGACATTGATCCACAAACTACCACTGATTTGGAATGCTCAAACACTTGGGCTTTTGCTTGGTTGGGGCACATCATTGACAATAATGCCCCTACTACTCATCTCAAGCTTTATGTTTCAAAAGACATCTCAGCTGAAGGTGACATCCACCAAACAACCACACTTTTCATTGTTTTTCTAATGAATGTGACAACCAATTTGAGAATTTGGAAGGCCTTACAGTCTTCTGCTGATGTCGGCATCGTTAAGCGTGTTCTGGGTTCAACGGTAAGTTTTCTATATCTAAAGCTAAGGTTGTACTCGTTAAGGATTTTAGTTTTCTGTTTAAAAATTAAGACAAGTTTGAGAAATGATTTAATAAAATAACTTTAAAGGGTAAACAAATAAAAGTACTTTTCAAATTTTGGTTGGACAGTAAAAATTGTTGAAACTAAAAAAAAAAAAAAACCAATGACCTTGAAAATTATCCCTTTATATAGTTGAACTTTTTGGAATGTTTCAGGGTAATCAAACATGTAAAGAATGCAGTGAAGAAAATTCCATAGAAAATCCAACAACTCTGAGCTCATCTTCTTCACTGAATGAATCCCAAAAACTTGCAATAGAAAGTTGTGTCCACAATGTTCTTTGCCAACACAAGCCCTCCATAGACCTCATATGGGGCCCACCAGGGACAGGAAAAACCAAGACCACAAGTATGTTACTTTTGAAAATTTTAAGAATGACTCACCAGATTAGGACTCTTGCCTGTGCCCCCACAAATATTGCCATCACAAATTTGGCCTCTAGAGTGGTGAAGTTGCTCAAAGAAGAGGCCTTTAGTAAAGAGTACAAACTCTATTCCCCCTTGGGAGAATTGCTCTTATTTGGAAACAAAGATCGACTCAAAATCGACTCCGAATTGGAAGAGGTCTATTTAGAGAATCGTGTTGAAAGTCTCGTAAAATGTCTCGGAAAAAACGGTTGGAAGTTTCAAATAACGTCAATGATAGAGTTTTTGGAGGAAGGCAAGAGGAGAATACATCACTTCAAATCTATTGCCCCAGCACTCCATGAATGTCTCTATTCATTGGCCACTCATGTTCCTCCACAAGTTATTTTGGAGCATAATTTGAAGAAAATGGAGATTCTTGTCAAGCTGGTTGATGATTTTGGTACCCTTTTGCCTCAAAATGACAGCAAAGTTTCTGTGAGGGAAAATTTGGCTGATTTGAAGAGGAAATGTTTGTTGGGTTTGAAGAATCTTTTGGTTTCTCTTGAGCAGATTGAGGTTCCAAGTAAAGTTAGTAGAAATTCAATTGAGAAGTTTTGTTTTCAGAAGGCTTCTTTGATTTTCAGCACTGCTTCAAACTCCTTCAAACTAAACTCAGTGAAGAAGAATTCAGTGGATTTGTTGGTTATTGATGAAGCTGCACAGTTGAAGGAATGTGAATCACTTATACCTTTGCAAGTTCCAAACATAAGACATGCCATTCTCATTGGTGATGAGTTCCAATTACCAGCAATAGTGAGCAGTAAGGTAATTTTATGTTGTGTTTAATATTAAAAAGTATTTAGTACCTTTCTAAACTTTCAATATTTTGTTTGACGTGTTTTTGAAGTTTAAAAACTTTTCCACCTTTCAATTTTGTATCTAATAAGGTCATGAATCCTTAAGAAAAATGTCTAATAGTCTTCCGTACTCTTTTTAAAGTTTGGAAACTTATTAGGTGTAATATTGAAATTTTAGGGACCTATTAGGTACTAGAACTATTATACACCATTCTAAAAGGTATTAATTTTCTTAATTTAAGCCAAACTAAAAGCCTGAGTTTGCATAGCATTAACACTAATACTTTAATTTGAACTAGGTTTGTGATGCAGCTGGATATGGTAGAAGTCTCTTTGAAAGGCTGAGTTTATTAGGATACTCCACGCACCTATTGGATACACAATATAGGATGCATCCATGTGTGAGCTTCTTCCCAAATTCCAAATTCTATGGCAATCAAATTTTGGATGCTTCCATTGTAATGGATAAGCAATATGAAAGAAGTTATCTTGCTGGCCCCATGTTTGGTCCATATTCTTTCATACATGTTTGTGGTGGACAAGAGGAAAGCAATAGAGATGGACAAAGCAAGAAGAATATGGTTGAGGTAGTTGTTGTGACCCAAATAATCCAAATGCTTTACAAAGGTACCATTCTAAAGGCTCAATTTAGGTTTTAGTCCCTAACATTCGTGAATTATTTTTTATTCAATCCCTATTATTTAAAAAGTCATTTTTCAATTACACTGTTCTCTTCTACTAGTGATGTTAGTTTCAACTAATGATAAGCTTACATGACATGATACTTAATGATAAGTTGACTTAGACTAAACTTCCACAATTCAGGGGGAGACTTTGTAATTCTTCCTCTAAATTTCTCTAGAAGTTTGACATAAATTTTGATTTTTCATCTTCTCCTCTAAAATTTTTGTCAATTCACTAAGTATCATGTCATGGTAAGTTTATTCATTGACAACATCTAACATCCACTATCCCAGAAATGATATGATTGAAATATATTAAAACATAAGGGGCTAAATTTTAATTAATTTCTAACCAATAAGGACTAAATTGAAAAAAAAAAACACTGACTCTTAAAATGTAAAGTAAGGGCCACATTCATTGAAATACAGCATGGTGCAAGAGCAAGAGGGATGTGAGCATTGGGGTAATATCTCCTTATGCAGCACAAGTTTCAGCAATCCAAAACAAAGTTGGAGGAAAATATGAGAAGAATATAATTAATGAAGGTTTTACGGTAAAAGTGAAGTCTGTGGATGGTTTCCAAGGTGGTGAAGAGGATGTGATCATAATTTCTACCGTCAGATCCAACGATCGAAACGATATTGGATTCCTCTCTAGTTCTCAAAGAACCAATGTTGCCCTAACGAGAGCTAGGTATGGTCTTTTTCATTGATTCTGTGTGTGTTTGACATATCTTTCAAAAATATTTTTCCTTAAAAAAGTTTTAGTATTTGGTTAAAATTTTAAAGAGTTAGTTTTGTTCTAAAATACTCACAATATAAATGTTTCACTTGAACATATTTTCTTCCAAAAGCATCCCAAACTCACCCCTTAGGATTTGTTTGGTCATACCTTCTTTAAAAAAATTTAGTGGATGGGATCACACGATTCACTTTTGAAATACTATTAGTGGTCTTATCTTGAATTATACTTAGATTGGCATAACTAAATAAACTAAATAATTTTAAGATCAAAACACGGAAGAAAATTAGATAAATGTTTCATCTAAAAGTGCTTTTATTTATGTAGTTTTTATCTATATCTAAAATTTCTCAAACCACTTTTAAGATTCTAAAGAGCTCTTTTATTTGCCAGCGAAAGCACTTTTTCTCTTGAAAATTGTAACCAAACACTACTGACAATTTTTTAGAAAGACACTTGTAGTCCTCCCTAACGACTCTAATATGAATGCTAAACACACAATTAATTCCAATGCTATAAAAAAAAAAACATTGGACATTGGAGATTTCACTTTCACACACATTCATTATTATTATTATTATTTTCTTTTTTTTCTTTAGGTATTGCCTTTGGATTGTGGGAGATGCAGAAACCTTAGAAAAGAGTAATTCAGAATGGAAAGATGTTATTGATGATGCCAAGTCTCGCCACTGTTTCTTCAATGTTGACGAAGACAAGGAGTTGGCAGATGCAATGAGAATGACAAAGACTTGGCAAATGTCTAATATTAAGGAAGAGCTCCTCAAACTAGACAATATTTACAACAAGGATTACAAATGAAAGCAAAATAAATCGGTGATGAGCGTGTTTGATATGATGCTATATAGATTATATTATTAGATTATGTTATTTGATTAGGATGTATATCTTCCCTGATGTATAATTTCACAAGTTAGGTATGCAAATAGTTTATTATATTTTATTAATATAGATATATTATTGGAGTTTGTACAAGGGGCAAATGCACATTGGTGGGCCCAGAGGAGGTTCGAGCCCCCTCAACTTTAGAAAGTACTGTTTTAATATATATATATGTTGTATCAATTTTTTTTGGAAAAATGTCTATTGCTCTAGTGCTTTGATGCGCTTAATCCTCTCCTCGTGTCCAAAGTTTGAGTCTCCCCGCCCTTAAATCTATATTGTTTTCTTCAATTTTTAGTAAGGGTGTTTATGGGTTGGGTTGGGTCGGATTAAGGGTGTTTTTGGGACCAACCCGAATTGGCCATATGTGGAAACCGATGGGTTCAGTTGTCGGGTTGTCTTACCTACTTCAAAAACGGGCAGCGACGATGGGAGGAGATGGTGCAGCGAGAGGTGGCGACGGTGGACAAAAATGGAGGAGAGGGTTTGATGGATGGTGCAGCGGGCGACCCAATCCTAGTTCGTCGGGTTCTCGAGTTTTTTGAACACCCTTAATTTTTAGTATTATATTCTTTTTTTTTAAATTTTTATAAATAACAATTATGTAATTGTGATATTATACTTATAAACGTTTTAGTTCTTTAAAAAATTGATATTTTTTTAGTGTTAAATACAAGTGGAAATGAATAAAAAATATTTTTAATTTCAATAAACTATTTTTAATAATTTATTGGTTAAAAATTCTATATTTCTTATAAAAAGAGAAGATTTGATTTATTATTTCAAGTTCATTCTTTTTCTTTTATATTTACCTAAAAAATTTTGTTCAATATCTTATTGAACAAAGTTAATTGGATTAATAATAAGTTTAGTTTATAAACATTAAACATTGATAGTCTGTTTAAAAGATTTGTGAACTTTAAAAAAAGTTAAAATGAGTTACACAAACTTTCATTTATGCATCTAATAGATCCTCGAACTTTCAATTTTATGTTTAATAAATCTTTAACCTATTAGACTATTTTTAAAGCTCAAGAATTTATTGGTTCAAACGACTATACCTAGATTGTTCTATGTTGTATTATTGTGTCTATTAGTTCATATTCTCTAAAAAAAAAAAAAAAAATCTATTGGTTCAAAAACCTAGTTAGACGCAAAAACTTATTAGATGCAAAATTGAAAGTTTAATTTATTGAATTTTTTTTAAAGCTCAGCCTATCAAATATAGTGTTGAAGCTTTGAGGAAAGGAAATCCACAATTTATACTTGTATCGTTCGAAACTAAGTTCGCTAAGCATGTTTACTGAATTTTATATTAAGCCCCGTCACTATTTGTATGTAAGAAAATATTTTATCAATAAAACTCTAGTGGTTCTGTGCGTTCTCTCACCATATGGGATAGTAGGATGTTTGAAAGGAGAGAATGTATGTGTTATAATGGCGGGAAACCGAGCCACATTAGAAGAGAGTGTCACTTATTGTTACAAGGAGGTATTATTATGCAACGATCATTTCTACAAAAAGAGCATAATTATGAAAACAAATTTGAAAAATGATGACGGTTAGGTTTGTGCATCATCATTTGTGCGACATTGTTTGTGCATCATCATTTGTACGTCGTTGTTTGTGTGTCATAGAAGGACTATATTTCAATGAAATTTGGGCAAGATGTGTTCCCTTTGCCCGAACTGTCTTTGACATGGGAGTTCCGTCAAGTTTTGCTACGGTATGGGAGGCGATAGGAGCTCAATTGACAGGGGAAGATCTGGAAATGGGTTCGGTCGTCTGCCGGTCCATTTGGAAGGATAAAAATCAAATTACTTCAAATCGAGAGCCATGGAGTAAGGAAGCCAGATGCGAATGGATTCGTAATTATTTTGAATCTTACCAAAGAACGATATTTCGAAGGAAGTGCATCTCAACAGAGCGTGACCATCCCACCAGATTGGATTATTATTCAGAGCGATGCTGCGTGCAACGAAGGTTGGGTCTAGGGCCGCACAAAACATTCTGTGCTGAAACCAAATTCCTTGATATCGGCCTTTCCCCTTTCTATGCAGAGTTGCAAGCGATTAAGGAAGCCCTTCAATCGGCATTAAGGATGAACTTCAAACTGATTTTGATTCAATCGAATTGTCTTGCGGTAGTCAATCTTCTACAAGGGGAGTGTGAATACAGAAATGAAACAATGGTTTGGTACTCGGACATAAAGGAGTTGAAGATTTAATGTCCAGGCTGATTCTTTGGCAAAGCACGCTTTGTTCACTGGTGTCTTCGACGGTGTGGATTGAGTTTTTCCCGTGTTTGGTTATTGGAGTCCTCTAGAATTAATTACCCTTTACGAACTAGTGAGGGGATCTAATGGACCTATAGATCCGAACCTCCAATATGTTACCAGATTAATTTGTTAAACTCATTAACCACCTTAATCAACATAGGTTAAATATGAGTTATTCCACTAAAAACTCGTAGCTGAACTCTTCTCACTATAGAATATTTATGTATCTACGGATATCGACCATTAACGGCAAGTCATTCCTTCACGAGTGTTCGTAACCACAGATGGGTCAAATTATCGTTTTACCCCTGAGTTACATCTTACTCCTTAAATACCGTTGATCTTCTAATGAACAACTCGGTTATGGTCCGACCAATAACCGAAAGTCTCTCTCGGGCCAGTGAGAAGGTGGGATCCCTTGTTCAAGTCTCGGAGTCAACACTAAAGGGAACACTCGCCTACTCCCCTAAAGTTGGAGATGAGTGAATTCCATCTTGTATAGTTATGTACCCAGCTCCTCACTCGGTCTCATCCCCAAAATGGTAGGAATGTTGAGTCGACGACTCGGGTAACTCTCACCCATACAGATCAAAGGGTGATCCCTAACGGGCAGGAGTCCATAACTCACTCGGGATTAAGAATAAGTTGTCTAGTCATCCTATGAAATAGCAATCTGTTAGTCAACGGCGTTACATCTAAAGATTGGCTATTTCGCGGTCCGATTTTATATAAACTCATTGTATAGGATACCCCTACTCGCATGTATCCACACTAAGAACCTGGATCGGGTCGTCTGTAACATTTACAAAATGACCGTATCTATAATATTGCCAGGATAAGATACCCAGTCTTATCTATATACTATAGACCATTTAGATTATTTCCAGGACATTGTCCACTTGTATATCGAGGATATATTAAATATATATCCAGTATATACTGTCCCAGTTAGATGATAATAACATTGGATGTTTAGTTGGTTTTTGACAATGCATTGTTATGAATTCAACAACAAATTAATTGAATAAAACTTTATTGAATATAAATTGTTTTTATATAAAACTACGAGTCTAGCGCTAACACACCCGACAAAGGAAAGTATGACAATTTGGATTTTGAAAATATATGGAGCGCAATTTACAAAAATGTCCTTGACTTTCCATCTTTAATTATTTATTTAATAATTAAATTTATTTCTATATATTTATGTATTATATAAGCTGAATAGATAAACATGACTATTATGAAAAAGATTAGAGTTAGATTTTTGAAGACACGGAAAAATATATTGATAAATATATACTAAAACCCTTTAAAAATTTTCAAAATCACCCCTTATAAAATGTTGTCAATCAAAAAATTAGGTATGAAAATTTATACTTAATAAAAAAAACTAGAAAACAATTACATAAATTTCAAAATGGAAGATATTTAAAAAATAAATTTAACATTTAATTTCATTAAGTAGTTTGCTTATATTATTTGTTAAATATTAGGAGTACTTGATAGGAGAAAATGTTGAAAAGTAAAATGCAAAAACGCCGTTGCCGGGGATCGAACCCAGGTCACCCGCGTGACAGGCGGGAATACTCACCACTATACTACAACGACTTTTTGTACACTGAATTGCTTTTCACATAATAACCAAAACAAAGTAAAAACATAAAAAGAAACATGCACCAGCCGGGAATCGAACCCGGGTCTGTACCGTGGCAGGGTACTATTCTACCACTAGACCACTGGTGCTGCTGATTGTATTTACATAATGGTGTTTATTTGTTTCAATGTTTCTCCATTTCGATCCGGATATATATTTTTTATTTTGTTTTTTCAATCTTTACCTCTCTCCTCTTTCTTTTTTTTTCCTGATTTTACAATTTTAAAAGCATAATTTTGAAGACTATATAATTTGTTATAAAAATTGGAGGAGCAGTAAACTTATGTTGAGAATACCTAAATAGTTACAATCAATAATATGTAGGTTTAATTCATGACTATTAAAATTGTGCCTAATTAATATCGATTCCTATCACATAAAATGAAAATAGACTAATTACCATGATTAAGTTAATTGATACTTATCTTTTAACGTTTCGAATTTGTCACTAATTGAAGTTACTATCCAACGACAACAACGTAACTGTTCCTTCATTTTGTTCTTTCCTACTCCACCAGTCACATATCAATTAATCACTATAGATTGCACTGCATAATGTTGGTTAAATAACCACCAATCTAAGATCTAAAAGTAAAAAATTAAACTAGAAAATTATCCAATAAAATCACACAAATTTTCAAAACTAAATATCTAAACTCAACTACAAAATTTCTAAATTCAATGCTCAATTAGTACATTTAATAGTTTTCTTTCAGAGTTAAAAAGTTTTAACTCTATTTCTTGAAAAGGTTATTGAATGAATCCGCCACAATATGACTGCTCTATAATAATCGTTGGATGTAGATTTGAAAATCTCAATACTCACTAATGACACCACGCGATATTTATTCGAAGTTCTTTTATGATTTCTCACTCGTTAATTCAACAGCGTAAAACTGCCAGGTATATTTTGATTGTCTCTTCCAACAATTTTTTATAATTCTCACCTATCTATTGGTCGAACTTAAAAAAATTACACATTACTCTTCAGATTCCTTAACAGCACGTCCGACGACTATTCAAATGGATCCAGTTCCTACCCACCCGCAACCCTTCTTGGGAATGGAATCCTATCGATTGGGCACTTTTAGACCAAAAATATTTGAGCAACTTTCACTATGCGAGGGCTTCGCCTCCGCTCGAGGGAAAGGTCTCCATTTCTATGGCGGTTGGTAGAGAGTGGGGAGTGAAAACACCAATGCAGTAGAGAACGACCGCATGAATCGGAATCCACAACGAGAAAGAATGTCTATAATATTCATA